TTTTTTTTTTTTCAAAAAAATATCTATTTTGGTATTTTTATGATTTGATGTAGCCTCAGACATGATTAACAAAACATTTCATCTTAAAAAATGATATTATTATCATTATAATATTTTTATTGGTATTTTTGTAATTTTCTTGCAGCCTCAGACATGATTCAAGACTTTCTGAACAACAAAAACTTTCATCTTAATGTCATATTTATTCTTTATGATAAACATTGAAATTTTTATAAAACGTTTTATTAATATTTTATTGTTATTTTTATGATTCAACTGCAGCCTCAGACATACTATAACTCAAGTTATAGTTCTTGCAAAAACAAAATATTTTAACAACAAAAAAATATTAATGTTATACTTAAGAGACTGTATGATAAAAATTGACATTATAAAAAGTTTTATTTAAAAAAAAAAGGTATGTTTTATGATTATGCTGCAGCCTCAGACATAATTCTAGTTTAATTTATTAAATATTCTTGCTCTTTTTAATTTATTTTCAATAAAACCATGTGAAAACACCGACTTCATCAGGAATAAGGTCATTCGTGTTGAACTTAATTCCATTTGCATTAATGAATGGCTTCAATTCTTGTTCGTGTCAGATTAGAGAGTTAAGTGTGTTATTTTTATTAGACAATAGCATCCATATAAACAGCATGTTTTATGAGGAAACATTTGAAAACACAACAAGCCTGCAGTCAAGGCTGAAGCTCGAACCTCTGGAGATGTTCAGAGGTCAAGGAACAACAAACTTCCATATTCCTTCGACTGAATAGATGAATAATCCTTCTCATGCTTGGAGGCCGTTCATTTTACTATGACATATTGAATACGAGAGAATATTGATTTAAAGCTCATCGGTGTCTCTTCAGATCGATACGGGTTTGATCAGCAGACTCTGATCGGTCTCCGTATTTTCTTTTCCAGTTCCCGGCGCCGTTCCGCAGGAGTCCATCCAAGGAAGCACATACGAGGAGAAGATCGCCCTCCGATGGAGAGAACCGCTCCAGACGTACGGCATAATCAAACAGTATGAAGTGAGTCCCGATTCCTTCAAGCTTCAGCATTCATCTTCCGTATGTCATTCTCTACACTCGCTTAATTGACTAATAAATCTAAACTAATAACCTTTAGATCTGTAAGCAGCCGGCGCTTTAAACGCCGCTCAGGTCAGCAGTGCCGAGAGATTCCATTAGAAAAGAGCCGCTGCAACAATTACAGCCTCCTACAGGAACGAAATGAGACGAGACGGAGTCATCTCACGCCCAGCCTACAGAAACATCTTATAAGATCTAGAGCCGGGTTTTGATTCGATTCGATTATCCTTCACAAGCTTGCGATTCGATTTCGATTCAGTATTGATTGTTTTGGATATATATCAGGTACAGGACATGGCAAATTCTCTCAAGGAAAAAAAAAAAATCTCTCAACTAATGCTGTAAAATAGACCTGAGAGTACCTGAAATTTGCTGATTTGTATAGAAACTAGGGCTGTCAAAATTAACGCGTTAAGAACGCAAATTCATTTTAACGGCACTAATTCTGTTAACACACGATTAATGCAGCACGCATTTTCTGTTTCAGGGTTTCCGCGGGGTCTTAAAAGGTCTTAAATTTAGTTGTATCATATTTAAGGCCATAAAAAGTCTTAAATGGTAAAAGAAAGTCTTATTTATGATTTCAAGAGGTCTTTAATTTGAGGACGGAAAGACCAGAATTGCGATATGACTTAATGTGAGATTAAACTTCAGAAGGTGATGATTTCATTGAATAAATAAATATGAACGCTGCATGTTTCAAAGTCTGCCGCTGCGCTGTTTTGTTTACAGTCGGAGAAACCGCTATGTTTCTGCCGGTCCGACAGCGCCACCTGCTGGCAGAGAATGAATTTGCATTTTCAATAAACCGGTCTGCTGTTTTTGTTCAGACCAATGTGAACATATACCCATGTTTTTATGCAGCAACGCGCAGCTGTAAATGTGAACAGATCGATAATAAGATAATGCATTATAAAAATCTAAACAATTAAGCCAGTAAAATATAATTATATGTTATTTAATATAATAATTAATTGACAATAATTGTTTAAATTAATAGAATAATTGATACTTTTGACTTTTGATTCACTTTCTTAAAAATAGTTTTAAAAACGTTGTTTTTGTGAAAACCTGTATCTGGATTCTTTATGCTCGATGTTGAGTATGGTTATGCTAATAATAAACATTCATTTGCATAAAGCGTCCATACTTGTCCATGCCCATGTTAATTAGAGTATTAAAAACTTGAAAAGTATTAATTTAAGGTACATTTAGGACAGATAAAAATGTGCGATTAAGTGGCGATTAATATTTTAATCAATTGACAGCCCTAATACAAACACTTTTTTGTCATATTAGCTTTCAATCACATAATTATATTTCTACTCCGATTCATTTTTTTGAAATATAAACATTTAAATGGTGTCTGTCACAAAATTTTGAAATATAAACATTTAAATGGTGTCTGTCACAAAAACTTGACGGATTTATTCAAACATAAATATTAAAGAACAGTAAAATGATAATGAATATGTCATATGGTGCATATTTAGCTCAGTTTAGTTCATTTTTCTAGCTGACGTTATGTGACATTGCTATTGTCGTCTCTCCGCGTTTGAAACACTGAGCGATTACATGAGACAGGAGACGGATTTCGGGATGTTGTACTCTTTCTTTTAACATACAGTACCTTTGGATGTTCATTCATGTTTATTTCATGCTGTAACTGCTGTTAAAACGGAGGAGACGATCTATCACTCCACATTAAACAGCGCCAAAACGGCATTTCATGTATAAATATTGTAATAAAATGGACAGCATTTGAAATCTGAGACGGTTTCATATCAAAAGTTACAAATCTCAAAGCGTATTGCGATTTATTGGATGGGAGGCGCTACAATGTTCCCTTCATTATCTGACAGGCGAGACTAATCGATTCTTGGGATATCGTTTCATGAAAATGAGAATCGATTAAAAACGAATCGTTTATAAGACCATTTAGCAAATGTTCCTAAAATGTTTTTTCTGAATGTTCAAAACATCTAGTTTTTAAAATGTTTTAGAAACGTTTTTCCTTGTGAGTGAAAACATTCCATTCCGTGCAGTCGTCATGGGAATGCTACTTTTGAATGTTCTCCGAAATAACATTCGTGTAACATTTTTGAAATGTTGCTACTTGTTTCAGAGAACATTCAAAAGTAACATTCCCGTAATGTTCGCAAATGGAATGTTTGCATAACCAAGAAAAAATGTTTCCAAACCATTTCAAAAACTGAACGTTTTGAATGTTCAGAGAAAATATATAGCACATATTTTTGTTATCTGGATGAGCTGCTCTCCATATTCATTTTATAGCTCTTGACTCTTACTCTTACAGTATAGCTCTTACTGACGTGTGGAAGAGCAAACCGTCGCTCTAGTTTTCCCGTCGGAGGGGATTTTCATTGTTTCAGTGGCAGTAAAAGAGTCTGGGATTTGAGGGCACTGGAAGAACAAACAGAAGCACATACCGCAGCGCTGGACTCACAGGAAGCTCACGCAGCAGGAATGTGGCAGGAGGAAACATGTTCCCTTCACAGGAAAAAAACACCGCATGAAATCAACACCCATTCAGGTTCCTGGTCTGATTGCGGTTTTATTCTATCAAAAAAGATATCTACATAATTAGTCATCTGAACTGAATAACTTGCTCTTAAATTTGAAACTTGTTGAATAACTGGGAAGTGCATTGCATTATGGAAGTGAAATGGGTTGTGAACGCTAGTACAGTACGTCCATTATTGAAGGAATAGTTCACCCCAAAATGAGCTAATAATCTGCTCACCCTCAGGCCATCTGAGATTAGGATCAGATTTGTAGAAATGCAGCATTGCATCAGTGTCTCAGCAATGGATGCTCTGCAGTGAATGGGTGCCGTCAGAATGAGAGTCCAAACAGCTGATAAAAACATCACAATAATCCACAAGTAATCCACAGCACTCCAGTCCATCAGTTAACATCTGGAGAAGACAAAAGCTGAAACAAATCCAGCATTAAGACGTTTTTAACTAAAATACCATAGAGTCCATAATCCATAATAACTCTTCCTCCAGTGAGAAAGTGTCTCTAAACAAACATGTGGCTGGATTTTGATGTGAGAGACAACGGGAGATGCTCTTTTTCACCGGAGGAAGCGTCATTATGGATTATTGACTTGGATTTTAGTTGAAAAAAAAATAGCCGGGTTTCCATCCAAATTTGTAATTTAACATGTGCACAAAATTTGAATACCGCATAAAACATTTGCGAATAAGCACCGTTTCCATCCAACGAGTCAAAGAGAACAAAATCGTCACTTCCTGATAAACCGGCACTAAAAATCACTAAGAAAAGTAGAAGCCACTGAATCTAATAATTTTCATATACAGTATAATAAATGACTTGTGCCTCGATAAATGCGCTCATGCTTTCGGAGCTAAATGCTGCTGTTCGGGAAGGCAGTCGTGAAAGACAGTTCTGGGAGGCAAACATACAGAAATACTTTGACGACAGACTTTGCTCGGGCATTTCAGAACGACCATAACAACATTTCAGATGCAGTGTAACGAGGTCCGTCTGCTGGTTAGTCAGGTTTTTCCGTCCCATAGCGCAAAGTCACATGACTTTTTTGATGTGCATGAAGGAATTCATTCACAAAATCTCCTATTACTCACATGAACCCTTTTTCACACACGTCAAAAACCACCTCAAGCGAGCGGAAAAACTTTTTTTTCCTTCACTCGTTTCTGATGTGATGCTTCAAAATGCACATTAAACCAGGCTGATGGAAACATAGCTAATGCTGGATTTGTCTTCTCCAGATGTTAACTGATGGACTGGAGCGCTGTGGATTACTTGTGGATTATTGTGATGTTTTTATCAGCTGTTTGGACTCTCATTCTGACGGCACCCATTCACTGCAGAGCATCCATTGCTGAGACAGTAAATAAACTCGTATCTATAAAATGCAAGGCCTTCAGAGACTCAGAGTGCATTGCATTATGGAAGTGAAAAGTGTCGCGAGTGCCGTTTCAGTCTGTCTATTATTGAAACACACAGTGTATTTTGGCTGTTACATTGTGTGCTCATTTTGTGATGATTTCTGAAGGGCGTGACTCATTCTGCGGCTGGAAACTCGGAACAAAGCGCCACTCAAACGACTCATTGTTGCAGAACTTAATTTGTGGAAATGCGACCAATTAAGCTGTCAGATTCACGTTATGAAATTACATTCTGTCATCGCGCTCGCCTTCAAGGAAGTGTCAGGGCTGCGATCGGTGCCGCTTGCTAAAGGGAAAAGGACCAAACAAAGCTTTCTGCCTCATTAGAGTCGCTCGACTTCCAGCAGGATCGCTCCTCCGTGGCATTTCGGGAAGCTCCCATGCGTTTGTGCCGGTGCGGAGCGTTTCTGCGGGGTTGAGGTGATGTACGTGCTGTCGTTTAGCTACAGTGACGTGCGGTGCAGTAATTGCACTGACAGCGAGTCGCCCCAGTGCATTCTGGGTTAAGTGCTTTGCTCAGAAACACAGTAATGATGGAGCAGGACTGTGATCCCGATAAATGTCCTGATCTGGGGTCAGGCCTCCGTAGCCTTAAACTTAGCCTTAAATTTTATTGAAGTTTTTGTAATTTTGTTGTGTTTTTGTAATGAATATTTATTTATTTATTAATGTCTATTTAGATTTTATACATTTTTATTTCAGTTTTATTTCTTTCCTTGGCAACATGCCTGAAATAAAAATATGTTTCAGTTTGGATTCGTTTTTATTTTTAGATTTTCCATTTCCATTTTAAATTTTACTAAAGTTTTAGTAATTTTAGTATGTGTTTTTGTCATTTTTATTAGATTTTTATTTTATTTCAATAACAAATTTTTTATGGTTTTAGTTTTAGTTAATTATGATAACCCTGATGTGAGACAGCTATATATTTTCATGGATAAAGATATAGAAATATACTACACCGATTTATAAATATTTCGTTTCTGTTAAGTTACATCAAGTTATTTATTTTTTACTGTACTGTTAGGTGTATTATCTTTTTATTTATTATTTATTTTAATATACTTTTTGTTTAATATGATTTTTATTTATCAAATTATTTTAATATAATTTTTATTATTTATTAGTTTATTTTCATATAATTTTAATATATTTATTTATTTACTATATGTTTATTAATTTGATTATTTATTTATTCATTTAATTATTTTAATATATTTATTTATGTATTTTTTTATTTTTTTTATTTAGAGTAATAATTTTTATTTAGTATTTATTATAAAATTTTATTTTTTCTTTTATCTGTTTGCCCGACCAATGGTAGTTGAGTTTTTGAGACATGCTAGAAAGTAGACAAAATTTTGCAACTCCATTTGGTACCACATAGAAACAATACACTTTACGTGTAAACATGGTAAATGTGTCAAACAAAACACCTATTAGTAGATAAAATACTGAATGAACAAACACATCCATGAATGATGTCTTTTACGGGTGCGGCTTCCATGCATTTACTGATTAGAGCTTTTAGAGAGAGAATAAACCGGACGTTTAATAAATGCAGTGTAGTTCAGCAGCTCGTCCAGAATAAAGATCAGCCTGTGATTCCTGTGCATTTGTTGCTGAATTGTTTGTATATTATTATGTGACCTCTGGTGGTGAATAAACGGAAGTCCATGGACCGAATTCGTGACAATCAGCATTATTCCCTGGGATTGATTGGTTTGGTATTCCGGCGTGGTTTCCCCGTGCGGATCAGTGTAGACGTCTATCCATCTACCTGTCTTAGACTAACATGAGTCCCATCGCCGCTCCCTTTGTGGCCTTAAATTGGACTCTGAATAGAGTGGCATTATCTGCACCACCCATTAGCAGCTGAATGATTTATTCAAATCAAGCCCCTCAGCTACTTTTCATTAAGTTATATTGGAAGCGCGGGGCGTCTGGCTCTCATCTCGACCGCAGAGAGCAGAAGAGAATCAGAGAGAACAAAAGTGAGTCTCTATCATCATAAAAGATCATACGCAGAAACGCTTCCTCGTTACTTCACAGCCGCTTCCTCTAATTGTGATTGCTCTGAATCGTGTGTTATTGCATTCTGAAGCTCAAGACAAACACTTGATTTCTTTACAGCAGGGATTCACAAATGCTTTTGTCAGCCGAACGCCTCAGACATGAAATATTTACTTGAAGCCTGCCTGAGATTTAAGTTAATATTTAAATAATTTCATGAAACATTCACATGTTCCCAGTCTTCTGATAACCGTTAATGGTCACGTGACATGCAAGTAAATAGATAATATATATATATTTTTAGTAAGGGTTTTATTTTGACTTAGCTGTGCTTTAAAGTCAACTCAGACCTCTTTTTATTGTAATTAAATGTGTTATTTTGGCCACATTACATTCACACTTGTGTTTTAGGAGCCCAATCAAGTTGAATAATAATAATAATAATAATAATGAATAACTTATTATTTTAACTAATTATAAAAATGAAAACAGAAATATATTACTATTGTAAATTGCAATTGTACTATAAAATAAAATTAATGCTCTGAATCGTGTGTTATTGCATTCTGAAGCTCAAGACAAACACTTGATTTCTTTACAGCAGGGATTCACAAATGCTTTTGTCAGCCGAACGCCTCAGACATGAAATATTTACTTGAAGCCTGCCTGAGATTTAAGTTAATATTTAAATAATTTCATGAAACATTCACATGTTCCCAGTCTTCTGATAACCGTTAATGGTCACGTGACATGCAAGTAAATAGATAATATATATATATTTTTAGTAAGGGTTTTATTTTGACTTAGCTGTGCTTTAAAGTCAACTCAGACCTCTTTTTATTGTAATTAAATGTGTTATTTTGGCCACATTACATTCACACTTGTGTTTTAGGAGCCCAATCAAGTTGAATAATAATAATAATAATAATAATGAATAACTTATTATTTTAACTAATTATAAAAATGAAAACAGAAATATATTACTATTGTAAATTGCAATTGTACTATAAAATTAAATTGAATAAAATATATTATTATATTATTTTAATTTTATTTTACACAAGTTACAATACTAATATTTATGTTAATTATTGTTATGATTTTTATAATTATCATTATTATTTTAACTCTTATAAAAATGAAGACAGAAATGTATTACTGTTGTAAATTCCAATTGTACTGTAATTGTGCTATAAATTATATGAATATAATATTGTAATATAAATAAATTATCTTGCTATATTATATTATTTTTATATGAACTTACATTATTATTATTTTATTTTAACTATTGTTTTAACTCTTATAAAAATGAAGACAAATATATTACTGTTGTAAATTACAATTGTACTGTAAAGTAAAATAAAATGACATTACATTAATTATAAAATTATTAATTAAAATAAATGTAATTATATTCTACTCCTATTTTACACTACAAGTTACAATACTAATATTTATGTTAATTATTTAAATTTTTTATATTATTTTTAATTATTGTTTTAATTTTTATAGAAATGAAACGGAAATTTATTACTATATATTGTATTGTAAAATTAAATTAAATTATATTAATAATTTCCTATATTTATGTCTTAAATAATTAGTTTTCAAACCCTCAAGCCTTTCATATTTTTATTTTGGCAGAGTACTGGTGAAGTTCTGTGAAGTTCTGTGCACAAAAAATGTTGAAAATGTTGAAATGTTCATCACTGCTGAATCATTCACAAAAAGAAAATAAACAGAGTCCGTTCGGGTTTCATGTTGAATATTCACAATAATGCGCAGTGGGACTTTGGACCAATGAGATGGCGCTGTGGGCGGGGCTTCCTCCTGTGATGTGCTGTTTTTGTGCCTGCAGATCTTCTATAAGGCCGTCAGCTCCTTCGACCCCGAGTTCAATCTGTCCAATCAGAGCGGGAAGATGCTGAAGTTCAGCAACGAGACGTCGCACATCTTCACGGGTCTGTATCCCGGATCCACGTACTCCTTCACCATCAGAGCCAGTACGGTCAAAGGATACGGGCCGCCCGAAACCACACAGTTCACAACCAAGATCTCACGTAAGAGCCGCGCCAGCCGTGTGTGTGTGTGTGTGTGTGTGTGAGAGAGACGTGCTCATATGTCACCTGTCAATCATAACAGCACCGCGTATGCCGGGATACGAGCAGGAGACACCGCTGAATCAGACCGACAGCACAGTGACAGTCCTTCTGAAACCGGCCCGGAGCCGCGGAGCACCGGTCAGGTGCGTCTTCATTCACATCAGACCCTCACATCAGCATCAGCACCAGACAAGCTGTTATAGAACTAGAGCTGTTTGGTTTATATGAAAAGCTCCAATAGCAAGTTCAAAATAATAATAATTTTTAAAAGTAATCATAATCCAAACAGGCAGTGCTATCTATCTATCTATCTATCTATCTATCTATCTATCTATCTATC